TGTTGGATTCTTACCACTAAGTCAAGACAGTTCACTAAATTCTTTGCATTCTAGGGAACCTTGTAGCTCATGTACACTTGAACTTCATTTTATAGATGAAGAAACTAAGGCCACGAGAGGTTTTGTGGCTGCTAATTAGTATCACAACTGGGTGTCAGCTAAGGTTTCAGAAAGCCCACACCACTCACTCCTCTTTGTGCTTGGACCTAGCCTCCGTGTTTGTCATTGCTTGGTGAACTATTGCTTTGTGTGTTTGGCTGATTAATCTTACTGAGCACTGCTGCTGTTGTGATACCACATTAGAGCTTCCAGAGACACAGTGTGCAGCAGCAACGAGTGTCAGCCTGAGAATCTGGTCCCGCTGCTGGCTGTCCCTAACAAACACATGACTTGGGCAAACCATTTAATGTCTTTGGAGCCTAGCTCTGCAGCGACAGGATTTACCAGACCCCTGACCACTCAAATGCTATGGTTCTAATTCTTACACGAGCAGACAGAGGGAGACGGGGCGTACTAACAATTCTAGGCAATGTGGACTCCGAGGAACTTTCTCTTTTTGGCTTGGAGACTTGTCCTGTTATTAACCCCGGGAAATTTATGTCCTGAATACTGTTTTTCATAGGCAAACATTATTATTTTGCATTGCTAGACTATATCTAGCAAACTAGAAGGAAGAAGAAAATCAGAGGGGATAGCTAAGCCTGCATTTTTATGTGAGTAAGTAAATAAACCACAGCAGGCTATCGGTAGAGGGGATAATTCCTGCATCTGGAAATTGGCTCCTCTGCAGCCACATCTGCATGGGCTTCCTGCCCTCTCCATCCCTAATGTACTAGTCTCCGTCTGCCTCTTCTCCCTGTCTTGGTGTAACTCTGTTCTAGAACTACGCTGTGAATAACTCCTGTCCTCCCACCTGAGCCCTGCTTGCAGGTTATCATAGATGAATCTCCAAGGCTAAGCTGTTGAGATTTCTGGCTAGACCAGAGGTTTTGCTAGAGGACCTTCCCCTTAAAGCATATCAGAGGGAAAGCAGGCCCTGGGCTACTAAAAGGGGAAAGAGAATTTCTGTTCCCTGAACTTAAGGAAAACAGAAGCAAGCTTGGGAGGAGGGGGCTGTGGAGATAGGGGAGGCCCGAAGGGTGGCTGTCCGTTGAACTGTCAGAAAGGAGTTAGTGAAGTCAAACGTAGCACAGACATTGGTGGCTAGGTGGGAAAGTAGAGGATTTATTCAAACCTTACTCCCAATTTGGCCACTGATGGAGGAGAGTAGAAGAGGGATAATGCTGAATTTTCCCTCCCAAGTTTGTAGTATGTCTTTACTCAACTTTTCTTCCTTTTGCACCATCCATCTCTGTGTTTGTACACAGGTACTTAGAAGTTTCGATTCCATAATCAGCACCAACTGCACGGAAGAGCTGGAGAATGCTGGCGTGGAGGTGCTAAAGTTCTCCCAGGTATGTGGGCTGAGCCCAAGTATGCCAGCAGCCCCTAGTCTGTCTGTCTGTCTGTCACAAGTCACACTTTTCCCTTGAGGCTCACACGATTGGTTTTATAATCACAAACTCGGTGTCTACTCCAGTCAGTGTATTCCACTTCTAGAATATTCCTGATTATTTTCTTCTCCGAGGCAGCAGTACTTCACATTGCAGTATTAATGATCTCAAGGTGTAAGAGATTAGAAACCTGGCAGTTGGATCTAGATCAACTTTGATGTTTTTATTTTGATTTTAAAACTTTGATTTTTGTGCTCAGATGCCTTATTGCACATCCTTATTTTTCAGATTTATATTTATTTTGGGGGAAATATTATGGAATCTATTTTTGAAGTATACCATTTGACCCATTGGGTTTTTCTTTTTTTTTTGAAATAGAGTCTCGCTTTTGTTGCCCGGGCTAGAGTGAGTGCCATGGCGTCAACCTAGCTCACAGCAACCTCAAATTCCTGGACTTCAGCAATCCTTCTGCCTCAGCCTCCCGAGTAGCTGGGACTACAGGCATGCGCCGCCATGCCCGGCTAGTTTTTTCTATATATTTTTAGTTGTCCAATTAATTTCTTTCTATTTTTAGTAGAGGGGGTCTCG